TCTTCCAATGGTGCACTCATTGCCACTATAACTGAGTCCATCCACCTTGCTGCTGGTCATCCTCTTCTTCTCTTTCCTTCTACCTTTCTTAGCATTAGATCCTTCTCCAGAGAGCTGGGGCTTCACATAATGTGTCCAAAATAGGATAATTTGAGCCTGGTCATTTGTGCCTCAAGTGAGAACTCTGGGTTGATTTGTTCGAATAGCCAGTCTCAAAAAAACTATTATAAAGCTGGGAAAAGAGCAAATAAAGAGGAAGAAGCAAAATGGTTTTGTATAGAATCATATGATTGAAAGGTGCCTTGGAGGGCTCCTAGTCCAACTCCCTGCTCAGAGCAGGAATCCTGAGACCATCCCAGACAAATTGATGCCCAGCCTTTGCTTGAAAACCTCCAGTGATGGAGCACTCATGACTTCAGGAGGCAGGCTGTTCCATTGCTTCATAGCTCTCACAGTCAGGAAATTCCTCCTTATTTTGAATTTGGATCTCCCTCTGTAAAACTTCCATCCACTGGTTCTTGTCTTAAGCTTAAGTGCTTGAAATCCATACATTTCAAATATTGGAAGAATTGCTATCATGTTTTACCTCAGTTTATCAGAATTCTCCCAATTTATATTGTTTGTGTTTGGGCCTTAATTATTCATTTTCAAAATTTCCCTACCCTCCTGAATCTTTTCTCTCTTCAGTATTTCTATACATGGAATCCTTCCAACTCTTTTCCTTAGCTTATTGAAGTCAGCTGTCTTCAAATCTGGAACACCAATCTGATTACCTTCAGTTCCCCCTGCCTGCACTATGGTGAATTCTAGAATCATGTAGCCATCCTCTCCCAAAGTTCCTAATGTCCACTTCCTCAATCATTTCTTCCCTGTTAGTATTAAATCCAGTACAGCTGACCCCCTAGTTCTTTTCCCCACTGTTTGGACAATGACATCTGCAAGGCACATCAAGAACTTGTTGGCTATCCTACTTGCTACAGAGTTTGATTCCCCATTGATGTTAAGGGAGTTGAAATCCCCCATTAGTGATATGTTTCATGGACACCTTGGGATCTGATATGTGAAGATTTCATGGATATCTTCTCCTTGGTTGGGTGACCTGTAATATATAATCACAACAATATCATTTTAAAATTATTTTTATGTTTTGTTTTTCTCTTAATTTTCACACAGATACTTTGGGCAGGATTTTCACCCTTGGTTTCATGAATTTCCATACAGGTGTAGTCATTCTTTATTATGATGCAACACACACAAACACCCTTCTTTTGGATCTGTTTCTTTTGAACAAATTATATCCCTCCAGTACCTCATTCCAATCATGAATTTCATCACAACAGGTTTCAGTAATAACAACAATGACATATTTGGTCCTTGGACCAGGATTCAAGTTCTCCCTGTTTGTTCCCCATATCCTTTGCATTGATATACAGGCATCAGAGTCCTGTATCTCCCAGGGTATTCCTGGGCATCCCTTTCTTGTTACCATTTTCTTCCTTGTAAGGTTTACTGGCTTTGGACTTACATTTGAATGTGGTTCTGGGTATTGGTCCCCCCCCTCTCCAGATTTAGTTTGAAGCTGACCAAATAATCTGAGAATAATGTCTTCTGAGTCTTTATGAAGTATAGCTTTGCCTTCCTGCCTAGCTCCTTGTAGCTTCTTGATACTTTCCAGGCTCTTTTTGGCAGTATAATTTGTTCCAACTAGAAAGGGAAGAAAGGGATAGTGATCAGTAAGTTTGATTAGTTGGTTCATGCTCTCTATTACATCCTGGATCTTTGCAACTGGGAAACAACACACATTCTTGATGTCTGCTCTGTTCCTCTCAACAACAAGTCATCTATCACTACCACACACCTTTTCCTCTTTGGGACAACCATTGGGTCCCTCAGTTCCATGGAAGTCTGAACTTCTCTCCTTCCTGTCCCTGAAACACTGGGTGAAAACCCATCACCGAAAGTCTGTGAGTCATTCTCCAGAGGGAAGACAGAAAAGGTGAATATGTTTGGAACATCATCATACTTCAGGACATACTTTACTGAACTGTAATTCCCATCATTGGCTATGTTGCCTAGGATATGTGGGAGTTGAAGTCCAACCATTTCTGGAAGGCCCATCTGTTTAATACTGTGCATGTTTAGTTAGAGGTAAGATCTCTGTTAAATGGCATTTTCTCCATTATATATATATATATATTTAGGATTATAGTTTGCAACTCTGTGTACAATTTTGTAGAAAATAAGCCACATTGTAATCAGAGAGATTTACTTAGGAGTAATATGTATAGAATTATATTCTACTGTTAATTAAATTATCAGTGGTGTGGATAAGGTAAACAGAGAAAACTTTGATTTCTCCTTCATAGCATTAGAACCAGTATAATGTAGTTAGTTAGGATTTTGGATTATGATTGAGGAGACCCCACATCAAGTTTAGTCTCAGACACAGACGCTCAGAGAGCAATTTTGGGCCAATCACTCTCACCCCAGCTGACCTCTCTGAATAGCTGTAATGGGGAAAAAATTGGAGGGAGTGTTATGTATGCTGCCTTGCACTTCTGGAGGAAATATTGGTTATAAATTTAACAAATAAATAAATGTATTTTGGAATAACATATAACAGCTAGTAAGCTGAGTTAGCTGTCTTTAAAATGGAATTAGAAAGGTTCG